GTGTTTAGCGTGAGTCTGTTGTGTGTGTTTAGCTTGAGTCTGATGCGTGTGTTTAGCGTGAGTCTGATGCGTGTGTTTAGCATGAGTCTAGCGTGTTTAGCGTGAGTCTGTTGCATGTGTTTAGCATGAGTCTGTTGCGTTTAGCGTGAGTCTGTTGCGTGTTTAGCGTGAGTCTGTTGTGTGTGTCTTGCGTGAGTCTGATGCGTGTGTTTAGCGTGAGTCTGATGCGTGTGTTTAGCATGAGTCTAGCGTGTTTAGCGTGAGTCTGTTGCATGTGTTTAGCATGAGTCTGTTGCGTTTAGCGTGAGTCTGTTGCGTGTTTAGCGTGAGTCTGTTGTGTGTGTTTAGCTTGAGTCTGTTGCGTGTGTTTAGCGTGAGTCTGATGCGTGTTTAGCGTGAGTCTGATGCATGTGTTTAGCATGAGTCTGTAGCGTTTAGCATGAGTCTTGCGTGTGTTTAGCGTGAGTCTGTAGCGTGTTTAGCGTGAGTGTAGTGTGTTTAGCTTGAGTCTGTTGCGTGTGTTTAGCGTGAGTCTGTAGCGTGTGTTTAGTGTGAGTGTGATGCGTGAGTCTGTAGCGTGTTTAGCGTGAGTCTGTAGCGTGTTTAGCGTGAGTCTGATGCGTGTGTTTAGCGTGAGTCTGTTGCGTGTGTTTAGCGTGAGTCTGTTGCCTGTGTTTAGCGTGAGTCTGTTGCCTGTGTTTAGCGTGAGTCTGATGCTGCCGTGTCTGCAGACTCAGGCGGGTCAGAGGTCACAGGAGGAGGTGGAGGTCGGGCGTTGCTCCAGGGGTCAGTATTTCGGTGAGCTGGCGCTGGTCACCAATAAACCCCGAGCAGCATCTGTGTACGCGGCAGGAGAGACCAAGTGTTTAGGTACGAACCTCACCAAGGACATATGCTAAAATACCACAGCAGTGTTCTGTACTGTATTTTCTGTAAAATAACTCACACTTAACTATAAGTCACACCGGCTCAAAATTGCAGTGTTGAGAGAAAAAAAAACACAAATATGACCCTGCAGCACAAAAGCAGTCTTAAGTCGCTGGGGTATATTTGTAGCAATAGCCAACAATACATTGTATGGGTCAAAATTATCCATTTTTCTTTTATGCCAAAAATCATTAGGATATTAAGTAAAGATCATGTTCCATGAAGATATTTTGTAAGTTTGCTACCGTAAATATATCAAAACTTAATTTTTGATTAGTAATATGCATTGCTAAGAACTTAATTTGAACAACTTTAAAGATGATTTTCTCAATATTTAGATTTTTTTGCTCCCTCAGATTCCAGATTTTCAAATAGTTGTGTCTCGGCCAAATATTGTTCTATCCTAACAAACCATGCATCAATGGAGAGCTTATTTATTCAGCTTTCAGATGATGCATACATCTCAATTTTGAAAAATTGACCCTTATGACTGGTTTTGTGCTCCAGGGTCACAGATAGGTATTTATGTCATGGTTGCATGAACTGCAAAAAATAAATATCTTCCTCAGTATTTTTGTCTTTCAAATATCTGAACATCCTTAAATCAAGATTCATTTAGCGTAGATACAAAATAAAGATAAGAAGTCTTGTTTTCTGAGAAACTGAAGTAAATTAAATGAGTTTATCCTAAAAACAAGAACAAATGTGACCCGTGCTGGTAAAATGAGTCGTGATAATTTTGAGCTACAGGCAAAAAAAAGTGAAAAATTTCGATTTTGAGGTTTTCATAAAAATTAGCTCATTAAGCCCTCGTCTTGCAATCCCAATTTTTGATTTTGCTTTGGAACCTTCAGAAAACTTTAACTCCATTTTTCTCAAAACTGACTTTGCTGACTCTGTCGACATCAAACGGGTGTAGCTCAGTCATTTTTAGTCCGATTTCAACAAATCATACATCATTCTGAAGGTCTTTTAATGGAGAACGTGCCATTATTTTTGCCAGCACAGGTCACAAATATCTGTCAATGGGGAATGAAAACTTATTTTCCTTTTGAATTAAGTGGATTTTTTTTTTAAGTGGAGTCCATTGACAGATATTTGTTCTTGTTTTAGTCATAAACAGTTCATTTTGATCAGTTTCTCATAAAACAAGACTTCATCTGTAATTTTACATCTCCATTAAATGTATTGATTTAAGAATATTTAGTCTGAAAAACAATACTGAGGAAGAAAAATTATTCCCATATTCTAGTGGTTTGTGATCAGAGATATTCAAAATGTTTTGTAAAATGAATTAAAAAGTAATGGAGATCAGTTGGAAGTTGTGTTAGCAACATGTTTTTGAAAATACAAGACATTTACATTGATAGACCACATTATGAATTATGAGCCAATGCGGAAGATTTACAACGGGAAAAAAATCCTTTCTGAGCCTAAAGTTCTATGATCTCTTTTCGCTCTTTTTTTTTTCTCACCTATTTTGTTTTCGTCTTGTGAAAAATATTTTTTCTCTTATCAAAATTTTCTCTCATCAAAAAACCTTTCTCTCAATTTTTTTCTCTTAGTTAGAATTCTTAGAAAAAAATCTCTTACAATTTTTTTTGTCTGTATTAAAAAAGAAAAAAAAAAATTTTCTCATCAAAAATTCAAGTTTATTTGTATAGCGCTTTTCACGATACAAATCGTGAATGTTTAAATTAAGTTTCTACAATATTTAGTGGTAGCTTATCAGTGGTGACTGTCAGTTAATGTACATATGGCAGAAATGTACATAAAAATCAGACGTAATCAAACAGACGATCTTAATCTTAATCTTGTACTGCAGTTATATCTGATCAAATGCACATTATAGCGCTATATAAATAAAGGTGACTTGGCTTGACTTGACGATGAACACCATTAACAGCAATTATTATATGATGCAATCAAACTTATAGCAATGTTTGTTAGTTCTGTGTGTTTCAGGGTCGGCATCATCTCTTCTCAGGTGTTCTGGATCCAGACAAATAAAATGTTTTCTCTCATAAATTTTTTTCCTCATCAAAAAACTATGGAAACTGTTCCTGGCACAACTGAGTAAAAAATATTTTGTAAGTCATAATAATAAGAAACTTTCTCATAATAATGTATTAATAAGTAATAATGTTCAGAAAAAAAACTTTCTCATAATGAGAAATTCTCTAGTAACTATTTAGTTTCTCGTCATAATGAGAAACGTTCTTTCAATAATGACTTATTTTCTCGTATGAGAAAGTTTCTCATTGACATGAGAAAAAAAATCATAATTCTGAGAAAGTCATTATTATGAGAATTTCTGATCATGACGATTTACAAAATACTCTTTTTTTTTTTTTTAATTCAAGTATGGTGGAAATGGGCTTCCATAAAAAAACTTTTGTTCTCTCATCAAAAAAGAAATAAATCATCTCGTCAAAACTTTTTTTGGTATCAAAAATATTTTTTCTCTCCAAAAAAACTGTTTCTTATATTAAAAATTCTCATAATTTTTTTGTCATTTTTTAAATAATTTTTTTCTTATCATAATATATTTTTCTCATGAAAAACCTTTTATCAAAAAAACTTTTCTTATAAAAATACTGTTTTTTTCCTTATTTTTTTCAACAATTTATTTTGTCATCCAAAAACTCTCAGCAAAAAACTTTTTTCTCTCAATTTTTTATCAAATTTCTCTCTTATAAAAAATATTTTTTCTACCAAAATGTTTTCAATTTTTTTTATTCACACCAAAAAAACTTTTATCAATTTTTTTCTTTCTTCAATTTTTTCTGTCATCAAAAAAAATTCTCATAATTTTTTCCAAATGCTTTTTTCCACTCATCAACATTTTTTGTGTGTGTTTAAAAAAACGTTTAAAAGCAGGAAAAATTAGTTGATTTTTCCAGAAGAGAGGAATTGATTTTTTAGCCGCTACAGCACGAGATCTAATGCTAACGCTGCTTCTCTGCTGATCTATCCTTGCTTTGCAAATCAAGACAAACTCCGCTTACGTTTGATTTGGCATTCTCCGTCATATCTAACAACTGGAGTTATGAAGTAGTTTTTGAAAAGAGAAAAAAAAATTGAGAAAGTTTTTTTGAGAATTGTTTTTTTTTGAAAGATGTGACATCAAACAAAATATTTTAAAAAATCATTAAAATATCTGTTAATGCAAAATAAAGTGTGAAGTGCAAATCCACATAATGCAAACACGCGTCGTGAAATTATCCACATGCAGGGGATTGTGGGTATTTCCTTCAGTGGACATGCTCAGTAACACATGCTGCTTCACCTTCATGCTTTTACTGAAGATCACATGATTCATCAGAATTCATTCATTCCTTTCATTTATAAAGCACTGAACTGCAGCTGCAGACCTAAGTGCTCTATAATCAACATGCAGCTACATAACTAAAAACCCAACTTTTTAACCCCAGCTTTACAGGGGTTTATGGATGTAATCGCTCTAATCTCAGATGGCAAACTAATCCAAAGCCTCGGAGCCTGCTCATTAAATATGAAAAGATGACTCCTCAAAGTCAGGCCGTGAACGGATGCTGCTGCGTGTAAAGCTGCTCGAACTAAACAATTCAGAAGAAAATTTTGTTTTTTTCACATTAAGCAGTTCAATCAATGGTTAAGAGTTTGGCAGCAGAAGTTGGATGTTTTTGTGCATTTTCATTTTTCAGTTTCTTCATGTTTTATGTCAATTAATCTCTAAAAATTATACTTTTGTAAAAGTGTAAAAATACTGTATAACATCCGTCAGAAAACGTGAGAAGAGCTGCTCATCAATAAACACACGTGATTAATATCATTTATCTACATCGACTAATTCATCACGTGTTCACTGAATACAATGACGCCACTGCAGTATGTTAGCAAGCTAATGTTTAAACCGCTAGAAATCCAAGCGTTCAGCTTTACTCTCATTTCAGTTTAACTTTCAAATCAACTTTAAAGATGATTTTCTCAATATTTGAATTTTTTTGCACCCTCAGATTCCAGATTTTCAAATAATTGTATCAGTCAAATATTGTCATATCCTAACAAACCATACATCAATGGAAAGCTTATTCAGATGATTTCAGAAAATTGACCCTTATGACTGGTTTTGTGGTGCAGGGCCACAATAGTGATTGAACAGCAGAATGAATCCAAACTCTGAACTCTCAGAGAGTCAGATCTCCCAGCGATGACGGTGTGTGTGTCTGTGTTGTGCAGTGATCACCGTGCAGGCGTTCGAGCGTCTGCTGGGCTCCTGTAAGGAGATTCTGAAGAGGAACATCCAGCAGTACGAGCAGCAGCTGCTAGCCCTGTTCGGATCCAGCGTCGACCTCAAACACTGAACCCAGACACCTCACGCTAGATAAAAACATCTCCGCCGTCAGTTTGAGAAGACTCACATCACACGCACAAGTGAATCAAATCCACGGCTCAGAAAACAATAACGAGCAGAATTAGAAAAGCTCTGACCTTCAGCAAACACAGCTTTTGTGAACAGACGAGCTGAGTTACTTTCTAAGAGCTGAAGAGGTTTTCAACCCAAATGTTCCTTGTTTTCCAACAGATTCTCACCACTGTCTCCAGCAAGTGTACTTGTTTCACTGTAATCCATGTTTGTGATTTCTCTTGATGAATAAAGGCTAAAATGAAAGAGTGAAAAGTTTTATGGACTTTATTTTATTTGAGTAAGAAAGCTTGAAGTGCCCGCAACAAACCCAGCCGGCGCTGACGCCTCACGAGTATTTACATCACAAGCACAGTTTGATTCAGCTGTCGTCGGTACGGTCCGGCTCGGTTGGGTTTGGGTCGTCTGGCCAATGTTTAAATATTTAAAATATGTACAGCCCGGCAAACCAGAACCTCCATGATCCTGTTCATCTGCTGCCGGTCGATCGGAGGGATCTCCAGCGTCCAATCAATCAGGGACACATGACTCGTTAAAAACACACATTTATCTTACAATAACTTCTATGATTTGTTCATCAAAAAAATACTCAAAAAAAATCACCAAATGAAGAAAATGTCCCTTGTCCCTCAAGTCAATTGTTTTTGTTTCCTGCCCAATGAATGTTTCCGTGAACAAAAATGAAACTGATCAATAAATACACAGACCGCAGACACGTGGAGTCAGACTGCAGAGGAGCGGGGGAATCAGACGGAGGTGATGACGATCATGAGGTGCGGAGAGATGCTGGAGATTTGGCTGAGGAGGTCCGGAGCCAGGCGAGACAGGTGGCTCTCGGAGAACTCGCACGGAGGGAAGATCTGCAGCACGTACGCAGGCTGTGGAGGGAAACAAGCGTCTCAGATGCACTGCTGTGTCAGGAGATTGAGCACGTGTGTGTGTGTGAGACGAACGCTCACCTGGTTGGAGCCGGGGTTGGGGACGTTGATGATGCCGGCCGCTAGTTTGGCCTGCAGGTAATTGATGAAGGCGGATTTGAGCGCCTGCGTCTGGTTCAACACGTCCTCCTGGTCCAGACCACAGGGCATGGCCAACAGCAGGCAGAAATCACTTTCCCCCTGAAAACAGCACACAAAACATTTTTCAGCCAAACATTTCATGCCCAATAACCATCATGGTAAATGGAGATGCCTGTGAAAATTGGCTTGCATTGCATCAAATAAGTGTTATACTTTTGATATAAACTTGAGTAAACATTTAAAAATGAATGGTTCACCCAAAAACGCCAAACTTGCTGTAAATGTGCTCACTCTCAGTTCATCCGAGATCAGGATGAGTTTGTTTCTTCATCAGGTTTGTAGAAATGTAGCACTGCATCAGTGTCTCAGCAATGGATGCTCTGCAGTGAATGGGTTCCGTCAGAATGGGGGGCCCAGTCTCATGAAAGTGCGCATCAATAGCACGATTTTCTATTTTGCGTGCTATTTATACACAGAAATCAACTCCTGTTGTCTCTCACATCAAAATTCAGCCACACAATGCTACATTTCTACAAACCTGATGAAGAAACAAACTCATCTGATCTCAGATGACCTGAGTGAATAAACTTTTAGCAATATTTGTTTTTTTGTATGAACTATCCCTTTAAACCCATTTATATTTTGAATAGAATTGGCAGCCCTCTTGGACAGTGCACCAGAATGTAAACTCTTGGCGGAAAAGCGAATGCTCCAATATCACGTACCGTCATTCTGCGAGCGACTCCCTCCAGCTGCTGGGCCTCCAGCCTCATCCTCTGAACGATGCGCAGAATCCCTCCACTCTCTGGCAGAGGCAAAGAGCGCAGGCCCAGAGCTTTGTTTCCACATAAGAAGTGCAGCTGAACCGCTGCTGTATCATTCTTCAGCGCCAGCAGGCCTTGCCACACAATAGGGTATTTCTGTATATACAGAGTTGATCAAACACAAACTTTAGGTAGGTATTGGTGTAATTTTGCATTCCCACTGCACATAGATGGTTGGAAAAGTGTTGTGTGGCTACACAACACC